TGGCGTGAAGATTGCATGTGTGTGATTACTTGTGTGCTTGCTTTCAGTCTTTTGTTTTAATCCAGCAGCAATTTAAGACAGACCTCAGGCAATGAAGCCCAGTTTCTACTGGACTCCTCTTTTCTACCAGCCATGGAGCTCAGCGCTTGCTGTTTCAGCTGAGAATAGCAGAACTGAAGAACACAGCCCAGGTCCATAGCCCTTTCTTCTCTGCTGATTCCTGCAATGTTTTGCAGCCCTCTCAAAATATTTCTCCTCACATGATTCACGAGCTCCCATTTCACCCTCCAGGACCTTGATACTCTCTTATGCGTTCCTCCTTCTCAGCCTGGACCTGCTTCCTTGTTCTTTAGCAGCTGAATTTTGCAGCTTTTTGGTAGTATTTTTCCATTCTGCTAGTGTAACGGTTAAGGGAATGTATAAGAGTTATGACATTACTAATATATCTTGATTTTATATAACTGCATTTATTTCTAGAAGAGGTGCCAGACTGGCAGCCATGGAGTCTGAAGCCCTTCATTTACCCACAGAGCAGGTGGTATAAAGACTCTGTAAAAGTGTGATAATAAAGTGCAAGCTCCCTCAAAGCACCCCTCCATTTGGTCCTAATATGGGACCTTTAGTAAAGAAATGAATTACAGTATGAATGAGAGCTAAGAATAACCACTAAGGGAGAGAGAAACAGTGTGAGTATAAATCACAGAACTTCAAAAGGATACAAGCACAATCCCTAAAAAGTTTGGGAGAACCATGAACAGAACATTGAATCATCCCTCTGAGCTGTGGGTAAAACAGAAATAATAACTAAAGCAATTTGATCTGAGACGGGGAAATAAACAGAACCTGGAAAGCAGTGAAAAAGGAAAGATGAACAAAGAGGGGAAACCTGCCAGCCTGTGTGCAGCGACTGCTGACAAAATACTAGCTCAGGTAATGATGCTTTCTAAGGAAACAGGCTGCAGGTACCACAGCATTTGACTGTGGTTCTTGAACAACTCAAGAAATTACCGGCTGGGACGTTTTCTCATCRTCACCATTCTTGTCTGCATTTCACACGTGGCTGTTTGGTCCCTGGGAACCATCCTCCAAACATTTGCCTTYAAAGGGCACCATCTTCTGCTATGTACCAGGAGGGACTTCTCRGGGTTTGCGCAATCTGCCCGCTTCAGAAATCTCTAAGCCCCAAGTTGCTGCTTTTATTTGTGTAGAACTGCAGCAGTGTCCTATGTTCTAACCAGGGACCTTGTATGAAAGAAGTTGTCATCCAAGAGCAGATCAAGAGTGAAGGTAGTGCTGCTGGATGAAGTCTTGTAGAGAGTAAGGGGAATCTGCATTCAGTTCATTTCACGTGTTTGTGTCCTGTAGACACTCACTACCCTGCATGGTCTCCGTGCATTTTTCCAGTTAGACTTTTTTTTTTTTTTTTTTAATTTTGCCTTATATTTGATTCTTAATGTGCAAAACATGGGAGAATTATGCAGGATCGCAGTTAATCACAACTCAGCAGTACAATTTTCCAGCTCTCTGGAAAAGCTTTCTCAGTCACCTAGGATCTGTTACTGTTTTAAATGAAGGTCACTGTATTTTACATCCAGTGTTTCTATTATTAGGCTCACAGTCAAACAATCTTGCATCTAGCTGGTGGTTATCAACATTTTAGTAGATAAATCATTCGTAAATCCTTTTTTAAAGGTTTTTGTATATATATACACACTACATGTATGAGTGCATATATATAAATGTGTAAATAGTTGTCTATGTATATACAAAATCTATACATCTTTTCTAGGAAGGAAATATTTTGGATGAATTTAGAACTATACAATCTGAAATTCCACTTTTATTAAAATAAAAAAAAAAAAGGGGGGGGGGATTGAGCATGTATTCCTGCCCATTGTTATGAGCAGAGATAAATATTTCTTCATTAGGTTTTAATGGAAATTATTTTTTAGAAGGTCCTTTTTGCCCATGTCCACTATCTCTGTTATCATTTAGATAGCCTGTGGACCATGCTAATTTCAATATAGTTTGGATGAATTCATAGCACTGAATATTCATATGGCGTATGATACAGACACTGAACCCAATTTAGTAAATGAATACTTATAATTTCACCAAAGCCCCTCTGAGAGATTATTATGCAGATTTATGAAGGAATATTGCTGAAGCAATTCTTGGCTGTGTTTTCAGTCGCTGAGGACTTAAAGTATGTAAACCTAAAATAATTTCAGGCTTATTTACTGTCACTGCTTYCATCTTCTGAACCTTCCTGACATGATTTCTCTCACTGTTTTGTAACCAGCATCTCCTCCCCTGTCCTTGCCCTTGAGCACAGAGCCAGCGTCACAACAGCTACGAGTGTTGCCWAGTGACTCCCAACAAGATCCTTGCTGCCATGATGCTGGCAATCTGTTCTCATCCCGCCGCTGCCCGATTCCATTAGACGCAGGGGGATGTGTGGACGCAGCCCCACGCGTGGGGTGACTCACCTGGAAACAGGCAGACCAAGAGGCAAAGTCGCTGGGTGCAGGTTCTCACTCCTCTTCTGCAGGAGGACAACTGCCTTGCTCTTCTGAGAGTCCCTCAGAAAGCGGCAATATTCCAGGTGAGGATCCAGTTAGGGACTCATCCATGGAGGACCCATGGGATGGACACATTGTCAAGTTTAAAATCCATAAAAAAAAAAATATGCTGTATGTTGCTTTCTGTGCTAGTGATTTTGCGAGCAACATCTTTTCAAGAGTGTTACAGACCCACGTATTTTTGCAGGAGCCTCACTTGCTCTCTGGATCACCTTCAGTTTTCACCCCTCTGAGTGTCAGAAAGAAAACTCATTGCTCCTTGCTAGATGTCTCTTAAAATAACATCTTAGTGTCTGACATTGCCACCAAAAATAATAATTAAAAAAATAGAGCAGTATCCCTCACTCTAGCCAATTTTACCTCTTCTGCTGTACTCATTAAGGAAATTAGTCACCACYGGAGTATCTCAGCTTGCTACAGGCACAGGGCCAGATCCTGAATCCTTATTCATCCTGTGTCATTCATTCCCCTGCAGTAGGCACCCTAGGCACCTTATATCAGGGGAGGTAAAACATGAGTAAAGTCTTTGGGATGTGGCCCATGGGTTTCAGAAGGCTCCAGCAACAGTTAAATTTTAACATACTGTAAATATCATGGTTCTTCTCAGTTACAGTTCTTGGTATACACTATAGTAACATATGTTATATGGAAGTGAATCGTAAAGGCCAACTTCTGCTCTTGGATTCAGATCTCCTTGACTTCAGGGAGCCTGCCGAGCAAGGCAGCCTGGTGACACCTGCAAGCGGTAAGTAACCATGGCAAAGCCTCTATGRGGAGCACAGGGAAAGATCCAGCCGACAATTCCTGCCGGTCTTCGCTGCTTTCCGTACCGTGTCACACTGTGGCTCGTTCTATCCATGCTCTGTATGGTGCACATGGGCATCTTGAACTCCTTTTGCAAATTAATATGTAACAGAGTAAGGCAGGTGAAGCCCACAGGCCAAAAAGCGAGACAATCTGTATGTCAGAGAGACAGAGCAATAGGAGGRAAAAAGGGAGACAGACGATGATAGGAAAAAGCAGCAAGGAAGAGCAGTCATTTGAAAAACAGAGCAAACAGAGCGTGAGAGTGAGCCCCAACCAGCTCTCCTTTTGCACAAAATAACATAAAGATTCTCTCAAAGGGTTTTGCTTCCTTATCCTTCTCCACTTTTTTTTTCTTGTTTCTTATATTTCCTGGATTCTCATTCTTTGTTTTACCATTCTCTGCTTTTTTCTTCCCTATTASTCTGTTCCTGCTTGGCTGTCAAATTTGAGATGGGAAGAAGGAACTATCTCTGAAAATGTCAAAGAGTAACTGCAAAAAGGCACATATTTGCACACTTTATGGGAAACAGGTTCAGCTCTACACAGACCAAATCCAAGATAGCRGGGTTAAGAGAAATAATTAAAAGAAATCCTCCTCCTTCCCACCCTGCAATGGCCGGATTATCGCTGGTACAAGTAAAGCATGAGAAGATGATTGAAACTTCAGGATGATTCCAACTRCTCGACACTGTGTGACTGCAAATAATGAAAGCCAAGTTGCATTCCTTGGAGGGTGAGTCACAGCCGTAATTGACTTGACCAGACCAATAAATTGCACGTGGTTTAAGGAAGCTTTTCTTCTTGTCAGGAAATTCCCCTGCACTCGCTGCACTCCACTTAAGAGGGCCAATAAATGTTGTAAGTACGGGAAGGCTTGAGAGGAGTTTTCCTCAGACACACTTGTATGTTTATTGTCTTTCAGAAAGAATCAGGTAAAATAAGGTGAACTGCTACCAAGGGACACTATAGTTAACATTTCAGCACTGGGAAGTGATGACCTCACTCCACGAAACATCACCCTGCTCTTTTCCTGGGAGCCCTTTCCAATGCCTCTCTCGGATGACACAAGGTTTGCAACATCCAAAGGTGAAACTAGCTCTGCTCTTCCTGACTCACCACCAATTTGGCTTAAGTATCATCCTGGGTGCTAACAAGAAGGAGTCTGGAGTGTTTTTCTCAGCTGTTTCCGGGACTCCACCTGGAGACTGCAGGGGCCAACCAGGCAGCCAGTTGTGATGGACAGAGATTAGGAAGGCAGATGATTTTTCAAAGTATTTGAAGAATTTAGATGGATCATCCTATCTTCCTTTATAATACAATACTTGCATAGAAGGTGATGAGATTTTTTAAAGTGTATTAATCTCAAGTACCATTGATCAGCTTGCATAATTACCCTTTTATTTGCAGTAAAACTCATGCTGTAAGGGTGCTAACCTTCTAATTCCCATCAAAATCTATTCTTATCTGCTCCTCTTCCAATTTACCCTTGATATTTTTGTCAGATCTAATTTCTTTCATTCCCCTTCTCCTCTGACTCTAGAAATGAGCAAGAGAAATGGAAAATGAAAAATGAGAGATGAGCATATTCCAGCTTTGATGCTGCCCCTTTCTTTGGCAAAGAAATAAAGGAAATCTGTCCATGAGGTCCTGAAAGTGCAAGGTACGTTTTTGCATGAATGTGTACACAATAGGGGCAAGAAAGGAGGAAATTCCAGATACASTACATTTACAGTGAATACAAATAGCTCTACTCCTAGTAATACACCCAACCCTACACAGTAAACCCATTCAAGCTGTCATGCAGAGGATGCACAGGAATTAGAGAAAAAGAAAATATGAAAGCATCCAAAATGTACCTTCCTTCCAACAATCATTGCTATGAAATGATCATTTTATGGGCTCCTTTGCTTCAGAGTTCATTATCCGCTAACGCAGAAGAAAAGTCTTGCTCTTCAACTGAGGCCAGTCTTTTGACTTTTTGTACATAAAGCCCTCTGCATTGCCTGACATTAAGTGTGGAACTGGATAGCCCATATCTAAAGAGGGTATTGGCAAAGGTGGTTGTAATAAGGACAATCCGTAGACTTTTAGCTGTGCTTTTAATTTGAAGAGAATACTTCTATAATGAAGTAATGTGCTTGAATATAACGCAGCAATTTTGTGTCTAACAAATAAGTAGCTTCTTCTTTAAAAAGAAAATACTCTCTGAGATTTTAAAACCTGGTCTGAGGCATCATGCACAGCAAAAAATCTGTTTCTATGGATTTCTTGGCAGCGTTTATAATATAAATGTAATTTTCTTTTTGTCAAAATGACAAAAAATAATTGCATGCAAGTATATTTCTAGATACAAAAGGTTCAATCAGAGTCTGGTCTGGGTCGTCTAATATCCACTGAGCTCTTCGCTAAGTTCTAACTGAGGTTTTTAGAAACTCTTTCCTTCTGTTTGTACAAACTGTTTCTCATATAAATAGTATACTTTCTGGTAGAAATTTGCAGAGCTGAAGAGCATGCAAGCCTAATGCTTGCTCCTCTCCATGAAAACTTGAGAGAGTAGAAAAAAATCAGTTACTCAAGTATTTATGAAAAGTGGAAAAAGTGATGTGAGTACAGCTGCAGGAAATTCATTTTATAATCTGAATAGCTGCTCGAGGAGATTTTTTAATAATAATCACCTAGTTTTAATGGGGACATTTTCATATTGCTCATTCTTTATTTCTGAACAAACATCTGACACTTTGTTTGTCAGAAGTACTTGCTATATCATTTAAATGAAGCAAAACCCTTCATTTTGCTCTTTTTTCCCACCTCAACAAGATTTGCCTTCTTTGACTCTGAAAAGCCGATGCATTTCTGCTAGTCGATCCTCCCAAAACACCGYGTGGAGCTGTTCAGTAAATCCCCAGCCCGCCTGGCTGCACCAGGAGCGCATCCATCATCGGGTGAGCTCCCGTATCAATCTTCCCCCTGTCTCTGCTCRCTCCGGGACCCAGAAGGAGCGTTCGAGAAGGTGACCCGAGCGCCTCCTCTCCACGCTTATCTGCCGTGGTCCCAGAAGTGATTCATGATCATATCAAATCTCTCTCTGCGGTGCTGTTCCGTCCTGACGGCTCAGGCAACYGCAGGGACTGACTAGAGACTCCGATCAACCATCTGGTGTCTGCCAACTGGAGTGTCTGGGCAGGTTACCGCGAGCGCGGGCAGAAATGTGTTTTCTCTTTGGGTCCTTSCTATGAGGAGCCCTTCCCATGGGTCAGGCGGAACCTTAAGTGGCTGCAGTCCTAAAAGGCTGGAAGAAAGAGAGCCTGGCTTTAAGAAAGGGTATCTGGAGTCAGCTTTAAAGCTTGACTGAATGAAAATATTAGTGAATATTGTGTAGGCAGCAGTTCTGTACTGGCAAGGGATGGATTTAATAAGTGATGGGACTTTTTCCATCAGTTCTCTCAATGATTTTATGAGCTGTTTTTAATTGTGATTTGCCTATTCATAAGTGATTAGAATGCTGTTAAGGGACCTTAAATTTTTCTTTAAACTCTGCTTGTCCTCTAAATAATAAAAAGGAAATATTAAAAGTCTGAGAAACTCATTATACATCTTTTGCCAAATATTTTTTCCAAGAAGGCTGCGTCAGTCCCCACTCTGCAAGGACAGTTTTAGACCAYGTACTTTGAGATGGGCCTTTCCCCCTAGATGTCTCCCTTTTCCCTTCTCCCCTCCCAAAAAAACGGCCCAGCTGGAAATACAGATGATTTTGCCAGGCCCAGTCTAACCACATTACTGCCACGTGAAAAGTCTTATTAGCTGTAAGCCCTTGATAATAAGGTTCTTACCCAGCTGGTTTCCTTCTACCACGACAAGTTTGATCTCGGGCTTGCAGTGTCGCAGCAGGGAACTTTTATTTCCAGGATGGCATCCCTATGTGCCTCTGGAAAGGAGGCTCCAGGGGAATGTCCTCTGGGGCTTTTCGGCCCCTCGTGTCTCTTCCTGGGCCACCACACATCCTTGAGCTGCAGTTTCAATATTCCCCGCTCGCTTCTGGGCTTTGTGGGCCARTTTGACAGGGAATTTTGCCCGTGGGCTCGGAGCAGGCCAGGAGGCCGCTGCAGGATTTTCTTTCCTCATTTCACTGACTTCATCTTGCAATACTAATCTGACCGCTGCTGTTCAGGTTTAAGTGCACAATTAAAGCTGAAGTTCCTGTTTACAGTTAAAATTTATCAATTTGCCTTTTCTGTCAGGGCAAAGCAGGATGAGCGCTGCTTTTCAGTGGCAACGTACACCAGTGGAGGAGGCACAAAGGGAAGGAGAAGAAGCAATTTCTTGTCAAAATGGGGAGGGGAATCACAGAGAAATTCACCTTTCCATCTGATATCATACAGTTGCTTGTTCCAGACATACTGGTATGGACTGAGGCTGAAGTTTTAGCATGACTGGATTTATGCCCAGTTTGTCAGTCTGTTATAAGGACAAACGTCTACAGTGAGGGCCTAGCTTGGAAAACGAAACTGAACCGAACTAAGATTTTTAACTGAGGAAAGAAAATTATAAGCCATCAAACAATCTTCTGAGAGCAGCTCTTCGCGAGCAGCATGTTGACATCTTTCACTGAATTTTTTTCATTCGCTTCATTTTAAGCAGGACGGTCCATGTGTCACTCACGCTCGCAAAGCACAGACTTGTCCAAAGGTAAAAGATGGGACCCCAAAACAACTACAACCGCAACAATAATAAATTGTAGGTGGCAGCTCGGCCTATATTTACTATATACCATCTGCACTGAGCCCTGGKAGACATTATGTTCTACATTCTCTGCCTGTACTACAGAGAGCTCTTCTGATGTGTAAACCATCATTTATCTTGTCTTTGATTCCCTTCATGTGACCTTTTTCAGAGCAAGGTAGTATAACATTCCTGCCATGTCAGGTTCTAAGACCATTTGAGGACAGGCCTCATAAAGCCTGCCTTTAACATTAATCGATCACTTTATTATGGAAGTAAATCAAAGCGGTTAAACTCGGGTCTTCTGGGAGTTGAAGGTCAAACAGTGAAAAACAAACTTTCTTCTGGGAAGAAGGGAGAAAAATTCTTTTCAGCCCTTTCTCTTTGTTCTTTTCTTGCAGGCATGATAAAAATGCCCAATATGGCATCATTTAGGAAAGTAAGAAAGCAAATATATGCTAGCATACACATATATTAGCATAGACTTGACACCTCTCTATCTCTTTACTGCAAGTAGCTTTGTGAAGGCCCTTATGTGCACCCTGGCGAGCAGAGGCTGGAGAGGGAGGGTGGTCGCTTGCACAGGAGAGGGAATATCAGGTGGCTCTGCCTCCCTGTCCGCGCGGCTCGAGGAGCTGCAGGTGGCGTGAAGGACAGTGGACAAGGCCCCGGCAGCTCAGAGCTGTGTGTGCTGGTGCTGCACACCGTACCTTCAGTGGGACCTCCGAGACGTGCTCCACAGACATGAGTGTGGAAGTAGGCAGGAACCAGGGAGGTGTTCAAAGACGGAGGTAAGCATAAAGAAATTTGGCAAAGGAGAACAATCTTCAGCCCTTCAACAGGACTCAGAGRTGGGTATATCAGTAGGCGAAACTGCTTCTTCCCCTGTTCCAGCTAGGCAGGAGGCGCATCCCTTTCTGCCTTCTGGTCTAAAGCTCTCCCACTGTAGGCCAAAGGTGCTCCTGGCCTTGTTTTGCTTTTTAACTCACCTTGGGTTTTCAGGGCTTTACAAACACACAGGCACACCCAAACAACACAGGAGGGTGTTGGTCAGTAATGAGCTTTCTAGTCAGAGGAACCCGCCAGTTTAATTTGTTTCTTTGTGAGGGACAGCTATTTTTTAGACAAAGAAATTTGCTGACATGGTAAGTAGCATGAGTGCCAAGACTGATCAAGTATTATTTATTGTATTTTACATGCAGGGAAGTGTGCTCATCGCTGTACAGAGTACATGAGAAGACCTTGTCCTTATCCTGAGGTGTGTGAAATGTGAATTCAGACATGCGGTGACAAATGAGGCTAAAGARCCGTCGGGAGCAGGTGAGGTCAGGGAAGGCAAAGGTGACAAATAGACTGATGCCATTGGGCTGATGCTCTGCAATGTTCAGGTCTCAGCAACCCTAGTAGAAATGTCATAAGATCGTGTTAATTGGAGCAATTATTGACTCACCCACAAGGTGACCACTCCAGGAAAAAAAAAGTGCATGTAAAGGGAGTGATCCCCAGGCCTCAGAAGCGATGGGGAAGTGTTTATGGGATAAATCTTAAGTAGGATTMAATTCCTGGAGTACTCAATGGAGTGGAAATAGATGATAGAGGTAGAAAGCAGATGAATAATAATAGAGAATATATGTATCCATTAAATATATTAATGGAAGGCCAAGGAATGTGAAAAGAAACTGTCATCTTGAAATATATTCCATTCCATGAAGTCATGTTTTCCTGCTTCTAAGTGATTACTTCTCATTTTCTTCCATGCAAAGGATCAGCAGAAAAGAGCAGGGAAAGATGGCTGCATGATTAATTAGAAGAAAATTGAAATATAAAGTGCTATCAAGTACAGAGCACTGAAAATCTGGAATAGATATATATATATTGCCACATTTCTGTCAATTACAGCAGTATTAAAACTATTACCAGTAGATAAGAAGTGTCAGAGAAAGAATACATTTTCGGTATCATGGTGACCCTTTAAACCCAAAGTGCTGGGAAAGGGAGTGTACTCAAAGATGGCAGGATGCCCTCAGCCAGGGCAAGGAAAGTCGTTTTTCTGAAGAACTGCCTGAAATTTCGCCAGGTTGATTGAATATCACCATGTGTGTCTCTAGATTCCAGCACAAAATTAAGCAAAACAGTCACAGAGTGGTGACTATTATTCTAACCACAGGCACAAAGGAAAATCGAAGCTKTCCCCTAATGAGTGGTTATGTGAAGTGTGTCACTCTGTTGATACAAAGCAAGGGTACAGCTCCAAAACCCTTAGTTTTTTTTCCCAACAAGATTGACAGGAAGGTTTGACTCCAGATACATCCCACTTACAGCAGGACACTCAGTGTGAATCCAAGTGCTGTGGCAGTGGCCCATGTCTAGAAGGGATTGCTGGTTGGATTTGGATGGGCATCCAAATCCTGAGAGAACTGGACCTCTGAAAAAAGCACAAGGAAGATGGAAATATTTCTATCAGGATTTCCTGAAAAATCCTGCTGTTTTCTAGCTCTTACTAGGTCAAGGAAACAGATCGCTGAATATTCTAGTATTCCAATCCCACTGATAATCTCAAAGTCAAGGTTCCAAATAAAAGGCAAAAATTACAGTAGACAAATACAGGCAAAATCGTAGCCATTCTCTGAACTGTCTCAAATCTCAGGAAAAGCTTCTGCTGYGTTTTGGCTTGAGTATTTTGAATGAAAACTTGACTTCTCACTTCATCTCAACAGACCTGTCTGCTGTGTTAGCAGTCAGCCAGTATTGGAGCACTTCCCTCTATATTCACATGTGCATGTAAATAATTCCAGTAATTTCCCTGGACACGAATTCCGCTAATAGTTTGTTTCTACCTGTGATGTTTTTCTCTGTGCACACTCTCTCTCCAGCATGCCATTTCAGCAATATGAGATTTTTTTTTAATCTTCTTGAACACTGAAAATGAAGATGTATCCCCAGATTAAAAAGAGAAAATGCTTGAGTATTTCCTTCAGGATTCCCATTTGGAACAATGCTCTTTACCTAAAGGGTATAAATATGCATCTGTATAACTGTACTGAAAGGCAGTGAATTTCATTAACATTCAGTGTCTGTGGTTTGCTCCTCATGTGACTGCTCTACATGAAAGACAGAACTTATTCTGCCTATTCCCCCCAGGGCTGCACTGGTCCATTGCAGTGTCCCCAAGACTAATATCAGTCAAAGCCTGAGCTTCGCAGTAAGTCTTTCG